TGCACCGAATATCATATAGGATAAAGTATGGGATCTGTATTACTGATTTCTCTCTTTGATTGGTTCAATTTTGGCTCGAAGCATCTTGATTGGTATACAGTACTCTGAAACCTCCTCTTCACATACATATTGTTCGTTTTAGATAATTCGACCGGTATCACGTTCATTTTTCAAAATATCTGATTGTAGCGAACATTTCAGGACAGAGGTAGTACAGTTTTGACGAATTAGCCAATATCATGATATCAATGGATAATTTTGTCTATTCATGTGCGTTATGGAGTCAACAATCAGTAGGTTCAGAAATGGAATCAGCCAAGGCCGTCCGTGGCTCCAACTTAACGAGTCCAAGGGTAGTACTCATCACGAATCACCACACCGTACATGATTCGTTGAAACAGCGGTCTGGCCATTCGAAAACGACGGCGAAACTTGGCTTCGCCGTAGATGGGGGCCAAAGTAGTAGGTAAATCCGAGCATGCGCAGCCTCGCTATCTCGTGGTATGTTTGGCCGGCGGTTGGCAGTAGAGACTTTAGGGCGCAGAAGACTGATGAAAGCCAAGAATCTCCCAAACTTGATCCATGTCATCATCGTCGTCCTCCCACGCCATCATGCACAAACTTGCGCGCCAGGCGTTCATTTCCGGATAAAAAACATTCTTCGGATTTTTTACAGTTTTACCGCTGGGGTTGACGAAAATCAAAATACAGGAACTGTAAAACGGTATTTTTCAGTCTGATTATACAGTCGCACCGGTGGGGATGCCCTATGCCCTTATTGTACTTCGACACAAGGGCAAACGAAACAGGCAAATGGGCTCCACTTATAGTACTGTAGCTGCCTGCAATCGAGTGTCTTCCCCTGGGTCAGCTTTCAATTCTCATCACTCTAAGCCTATCTACTCCATAGTCGAATGTGGCTACGACCATACCAATATATTTTACAGGTAGTAGTGACTCCTGCTCTATCAAGGGTTCACACTAGGGCGACATACATGTGAGCTTACTGTATTTCCACAGCGCAATCATACCACTACGTAGGTGTCCCCAGTTTGAATTGGTTGCCACGATTGTACTACTGTATACTTGAAGTATTAAATACCAACGCCTAAGGATACACCTTGTTCTACCATTCAAGAACAAGATGCATCGTTAGTGTGTTGGTTTGATCCCAAGTTGTAGACGATATAGTCCCCGTTTCGAGCCTAGCTTTGATTATATCTTTTTGCCATAATTATACTCCAATATTTGTGTGATCCTCCTCATTTTGAAGTATAAAACAGGTTTATACCTAAAAATTGAATTCGAAAGGTAATTGGCCACTATTTAGGGTATTTACAATTGGACATTGATTCGGTTAACGGTATGAAACAAACATTTTTACCTTGATTTGGACACGATAAACATCGTCGAATTTGGCCGGAGTGCAACCTATACCGGTATATGTAGTTACGTTTGTCTATGCTTATGCAAAGGACCAAATTCATAAAGCACAGCGAAACTACGTCGCTGAACTCCTGGAATCGTGGACACCGCCGCCAACTTGATGCCAACACCCATGCAAAAGGACACACATCCGGACCAACTCGGAAAAATAGCCGTTAACCGAATCAATGCCCAATTGTAAATACCCTAAATAGTGGCCAATTACCTTTCGAATTCAATTTTTAGGTATAAACCTGTTTTATAATACATGTCGAGGTCACGCGTGATCATCATTTCCGTTTTCGTCCCCAGACAGATCGTCCAGGGATTGCAAAATGTACTCAATCTTCTTGGGGGGTTGGTACCCCAGCCCAGCACTAGGACCTGTCTCTGGTGGTGCACTCTACATACATACAGATCATCATCAGGTCCACATGGACATGCGGTACCTCGAGCCGACGGATACGATGCGTGGCGCCAGCGCGAAACGATACTTCCATGAGCCCCATCCCCGAAGCCACAAAGGGAGGCGGGATCGACGCCGCCGCCCGAAAGTACAGACTGCTTCCGGTCGCCAACGACAGCACGCCATGGAGGTTTGTGCCTACGCGCAGCATGTCGGCGGCGGTGCACGGCGTCGCGAGACCGCACGTCAAGTCTGCGACACGGTCCAAGTGCTGGCGGCGCATCATCGACGGAGGATGGCGGCGGCCCCCATGTGCCGCGATGTTCATGAGCTCGTCAAAGTCTCGCGCTTTCGTGACACTACAATATGTATTCTGCATAGTCAAGCAAGCCCCAACTCATACATAATGACCACAACGACCTCGTGGAGCGAAAGTCCAACAGCGTGCCAAACCGACGATTCAGCAAATGGCCGTGGAGGATGGACCGCCACAGCATGTCCAGGTCGTTCACTGCAAAAAAGTGGGCCTAATGTGGCCGTCAGTGCACAAGTTCCACGGTGTAGACCAGACACACGTACAAAGTAGCCAAGCGCGTCGCCGCCTTGCATGGTGGCATGGGAGCGCTTGACGCTAGTTCCTTTGGACAGAGTTGTGGACATGTGCAGCTGCTGCGGGGGGGACGATGGGACGCGTAGTAGGATGGCGTCGGCGCTGGCCTGTCCAAGCAGCGCCGCGCCAGGTTCACAACCCAACGTGGGGGATGTGTACCTACCTTGTCAAGAGATGGAGTGCTCAGGATCGCAATGCGGTGGTGGGCGAGCTTCGTGGGCGACATGTTTAATAGCTCTACAATGACCCTCCTCACGTTGACACCAACAACGCTCGCTGGTACATATGTACAATATCGGAAAGGACAGGTACCGATCATGGATTTTTGCATGGTCACGTCGTCGAACGCCACCCAGAAACGCGGTTCGTTGCCGGGACTACTGATGCCGGCGGCGTCACTGCTGGGAGAAATCTTTGTCCGAGACGTCAACGGCGGGACGCGAGGACCTCCACCAAGTCTGCCGCCATCTCCGTCGTCCCCCGAGTCGTAGTACATGTTGTCGTCGTCTTCATCATCTTCGTCGTCTTCGTCCTCGTCATCTTCGTCGCCTTCATCATCGGAAGGGTTGTCGAAAGGTCCAAGGGGAGGCATGGCGGAGGCGGCGGGTGGGGCTTCCAGTGCGACAGGCGTTGAGATAGTCAGTAGATTCGCGTTTGTATAGGAGTTATCGCCATGTTGGAGCCCTTCACCATCCTCTTGTTGGTTTGTTTCATCGTCGTCGTTGTCAGGCACGAGCTCGTGCCAATCGTGTTCGCATAACCAGTCCGACGCCGCTTCCACACAGCCACCGCAATTGTGAAGCTACAGATACGCTTGAATCTTTCCTCATCCCGCGGTATGACGCACGTACCACTTCAGCAAGTATCCCCTCTGGGATGTCTGGAAATATCTGCGCAAGGACGTCCATGGTGCGCTGTCCGTCGTTGCCGTGCTTTTTGGGGAGGGGAGTTGGACAAAAATCGGATAGGTATCCGGATTCATATCCGGATACATCGTTTGACATCACTAGAACAACTCACCGTGGCATTCATTCACAGTCAATTTGCCTAAAAGACTGAATAAAGCCACTCTTTTTGACGCTGGCATGGAACGGATTTAACTGTAAATTCGGTATTGAGGATTCAAATTCCAAAACGTATTAAATATAGCCAAAATCCAGGCCAATCTATAGGTGCATATTGGTTACTTTTTGTACTAGTACTACGTAGTATACGTACAGTACATTGTACTGTACTTCGAAGTATATACTATTAATACTACGTAGTATTAACGTTAGTACGTACTACTACACCTTTTTTCGGTTAATTTGAGGGCCTCACCATACTTTTTCGCGAAATACATGTACAGAGAGACACATAAGGAACGTCGCTTGAAATATACTGCAACCTTCTTGGTTGCAGGCGAAATGTACTAGTAACGAATATACAACGAACGAAGTGGAACCGCCGCTAATTGCTTGTTCATTTCGCGAATAAGTACATGCATGGTGAGGTCGTCAAATTAACCGAAAAAAGGTGTACAGTAGTAATAGTAAGTACGTAGTATGTACAGTTGAATGTACAGTACATACAGTAGTGTACGTACAGTACATTGCTAGAGGAAGTTCCAACTAGTTTTCAGAACCAGCATAAGCCAATCAAGATCGATTTACCTTTTTTTTCACGATTTAGAAAAAGACGTCAAGGACATCTTTTTCTATTTTTGGGGTAGTGAGTTGTGTAAAAAATCTCAGAAAAAGAGGTACAAAAGTAGCACTTGGAACCACTTTCAAGTGAAATAACATTCAAAATAACATTTCGTCATAATAATCCATCAATATATGAGTAGTTAAATATACATATAGGTGGCATCCGACATCAAACCGACAAATTTGGAGCCGATGATTGGATAACCGACAAATTTTTGAATTATGATTGGTCAGATATTTTATAGGCAATCTGATTGGGCGATGTAGTTGTCGGTTGAGCAACATATCACTCACATATAACATATACAGCTTGCTATTGGCTGAAAACACTGTCGTATCGACATATTCCGGAACACATGACCTCGACTCAGCATCTCAAGAACAGAAATACGTTAAGTGGAGCAGAGCTCGACAAACAAGGTGACGAGTTTTGACTAGTACGAGTACAGAGAAGTAGCTGCTGTGCTTGGTGTATGGATAATGTACAGTACATCCATAAACAACGTCATTAGACAGGCCGCACAATCGTCCACCGACCCACACGGCATGTTCATCTCTGTGAATCCATAGGAACGCGTCACTGTGATCACGTTGATGTATTGTGCAGTCACCAGGCGAAATGGCCGTGCCATAGTTGGGACGTGTGCCGATGGTAAACTCACGAATGATCAGTACACTGCAGCACACTGATGTTGGTGTGGCCACTAAACCGAGGGGTCGCGTCACTAACTCGAAATTGGTGACGCGACCCAAGAGCACGTCGACCACGCCACGCTCTTTTGTCCAAGTTACCGCGTATCTTCATTATGGTGTCTTTAACTGTACCCTTTCTAGATTCCTCATTGGAAATGCAAGCGATTGCAACATCGCTGGAGGTGACAGGTTTACTGTCTCCATGCCTCCATGGGACACAGCAAGAACTGTGATCAGGCCGCAAACGCAACTTTAGGGTGCGAATCCATGTTGCAGCCTCTGCACTCATAACACGTGGCACCCGGAGCCACGACGTGTGCCACGTGTATTGCGTGCAGAGGCTGCTCCTCACGGTTCATGTCCTCACCTCGTCAGAGATTGTATAAAAACCAACATACGAGATTTGGTCTTTGTATTGAAAATGAAGAGTCATCTACCAATGAAAGGTACGAAGTATTGAAATTTTAACCAATAAGACTAATGTCGGATAGAATTGTATTCGCCAAGTTACCCATACATAATACGTACTTCGTACTTATGAAAATCTAACTAACGTTAACAACAACAGCTATACTGGTAGTACATCCAAGAGCTACACGATTACAGACACAGCACATAAAAAACGACGTTGTGTGATGTTATATTTATATAACGTAAATGACCAATTTATGATCGGTTGGTTATACAAACTATAGTGCTCGCAGTGAATGCCTGTACTATACAGTGCTCGCAGTGAATGCCGCCTGCCCACCGGTATGAACGAACCGACACAGTCACGGTATCGGTTGCCAGCGGTGTCGATTGCCAGCGTTGATCCCGCAATTATCTCGCTCGTGCAACCTGACTTCGAAGGCTTGCAATGTACGAGTACGCCTGTATGCAAACCTGTGAGAACAGAACAATCACCACGCCAACTCCCAACCCACAAGCGGTGCCTGTGCCAACATGGTGCGTGTTGTCGACTCCATGTCGCCACGACAGGCCCAATCGTGTTTTGATTCCGTTCCCTATAATTGCATTTTTCGGAGATCAAGCACCTTGCCCCATCCCCAAAATATCCAGCTCCAGACATGGATATTTTTGGCGGATATTTGGCTTGGGAATATCTGGGACATTGAAAAAGAACGTGTTCACAGTCAATGGAATTTCGAAATATCCAGATATACTAGTATCCACTAACAGTAAGGCCATGTTTGGAGCAAAAATGGATTCTGATAATCCAGGTTTTGAATCGGGATTCTATCAAAAAGTTGCACCGAACACGATAACGTTAGGAACTCTGCATTTTAGAATCCACAAATGCAGAAAATTTACAAGAACACTGGTATTGTTTTGGCCACATCCTGGGCATTGGACCTTTATCATTGGTCTACTGTACATTAGTTTTTGCTCCTTTTCATTGGCTCCACTATTTATGACTGCTCATTTGACAGTCAGATAAAACGAAATACAATGCGCTATTTTGAACTATTTAAGTATTCTGACCGAAATGTAGCAGACAAAAATCGGCCATGTTGACGCTTTCTTGGCGGCGATTGCGCCGGGCTTACAGAATACGACGCGTTCCGCTGCAAGCTTTGTGCGCGATTGTAGCGTGATCATCGACGAAGATGTATATACATGTAACTACATATCGTATAACTTTACTGGACGGCAATATATCCACTTCATCATTCAAGGTCCATTCGACTTTGCAGCGACTTCGTAGTGGGTTTTAACGAACACATTGAGTTGTGCAAGGATGAGATACAAGTAACTTGGTACCGACAGTCGGTATCTGCGTGATTCTAAGTTTACGTAGCTTTTGTCAGTTGCATACACTTCAGTTGTTGACTCAGCGAGTGCGGAGCCCATTCTGCGCTGCAGGAATATAAATCATCTCCCACGAAGTTGAATACCGGTATGGTCTTAACTGGTTATATAGTTGGCGAAGGAGAACCATACGATGTACCACTAACGTTAGGTCACATGTGGTCATGGCTGCAACGTTCCTTTCATCACTGTCAGTACTCGGAGAATATATAGAACATCCCGAAACCCCCGAAAACCCAAACTTCGAATCATGGATAACGTTACAAATTAC